TACAAATGTATAAACAAATGCTAAACTTTTCTTTGAAGAATAGTTTCTTGATTTTGAGAGAGGAAGGGAGAGGGAGAGGAACATCCATGCGAGGGAAATACCAATCAGCCGCCTCCTGTACACCCCCTACTGGGGATGTGCCCGCAACCCAGGTACATGCCCTTGACCGGAATCGAACCCAGGACCCTTTAGTCCGCAGGCGGACGCTCTATCCACTGAGCCAAACCGGTTTCGGCAAAAGTAAAACATATTTTTAAAAAAGTGCACATCACGTGCTCGCACAGGGTCCAGCTTGTCCCGGTGCCTCAGTAAAGGTGGCTGGTACGATTAGATCCTTCCACCTGCTCACCCTCAGCTTCCTCTCTCCCTCAGCGTGAAGCCATTCTCGCAGACGCCGTTCTCCTTGTCACTGACTCCCCCATCTACTGACCTCCCAGGTAAGAGTCCGCTCTCCACCCTCCCTCCTCTCCCGTCTCCCTTGTCAGCGCTTACTGCCTCTCCTTCAACCTCCCATGAATCAGGGTCACATTCCTCCTGAGTCCAGCTCTGAGGCAGGGTGTGTGGAGGTCTGGAAGGATGTGACAGAATTTGTCGTGGTTAAGAGCACGGCCTCTGTAGCCACACACGCCGGGTTTGTGTTCTGCCACTTGCTAGCCTAAAGGACATGGGGAGATGTATTACTCAAGGTTCTTTCAGCTGCAAGTGACAGAAACCCAAGTGAAGCTAGATGACAAAAACAACAAGGACATCAACAAAATGGAGTTTACTGGGTCAGGTAACTGATATTTCAGGGGTTATGGCTTCAGGTATGGCTGGATCTAGGGGCTCCAATGGTAGGTAGCATCAGGACTTGCTTGGTTTTGCCTTCCCCTGGTGGCTTCATTCCCAGGCAGGCTCTGTCCCATTCCTTTTGGCAGCAAAGATGGCTTCCAGCAGTCCATGCTGATGTGGTCCTCACACTGATGAAAAATTATACTTAGGTTCCACAGGTTCATCAATTAGGAACGCTCTTGGCTGCAAGTAACAAGACCCAAATTAATAGTGCCAGAAATGAAAAGGCTTTAATCAGTGGTTCTCAACCTTCCTCATGCTGCGACCCTTCCTCATGTTGTGGTGACCCCCAACCATAAAGTTATTTTCGTTGCTACTTCATAACTGTAATGTTGCTACTGTTATGAATCGTCATGTAAATATCTGATATGCAGGATGTATTTTCAGTGTTACAAATTAAACATCATTAAAGCATAGTGATTCATCACAAAAACAATAGGTAAATATATATGTGTTTTCCGATGGTCTTAGGCGACCCCTGTGAAAGGGTCGCTCGACCCCCAAAGGGGTCGCGACCCACAGGTTGAGAACCGCTGGCTTTAATGATTCCACGTAACAAAAAGTCTGAAGGTGGGCTGCTAATGTGCTGGCTCAGCACCTCAGCGATATCAGGACGAGCGTCTCCCTAGGTCCCTTGGCCTCTCTCTTCCTGTCCCCAGATGACTGTTGTGACTCCAGGCACCATGTCCCAAGCAGGACTTGACCAGAACCAAAAGCTTTCTCCTCCCAAAGTTCTGTCTTTTTCATTCAGGAAGAAACTCCTTCCCAGAAGCCCCCGAGCAGATTTCCCCTAACGCCTCATTGGCCAGGACTGTGTCACATGGCCACCTCTAGCTGCAAGGGAGGCTGGGAAAGTGAGTAT